GTGCGGCTGACGGTCGGTACACCTCCATTCATTCCATGTATGCATCCTCCTGTCTGTCTGCTCTTCCTTCCGGTTCGTACACACCTTGTCGGAGGGATAGACGGGACTCGCGACACAGATCATCCCCTATATGAATTTTAGAACCCGGGTTCTCTCTACCTGGAATTCCGATGCGTGTAGGCAGCGTATGCGAGAGCTGTTTTGGTTAAGCAAAACTAGACAGCATGCTCTCGCTTCTGATGCCATTCGCATGTCGTTCGGCAGCCGAACAAAGGAGGGAAAAAAGAAAACGATATATGGCAAGCCCTTCCGGTTTCGCGCATTGCCTAAACATTCGCCTTTACTGTTTTACGGACATGCCTGCCCGAAGGGCAGGCACTCCACTTGTCCACATATACAAACACGATGCGAGGTGTCCACTTCGCATCACCACCCCGCCGCTCGAAACGCGAGGCACGGATATCCCGACCAAAATCACCGGCGGAGGGCTGGCTGCGCAGAGTCCACACGCATGTCGGTGTCGTGAGATACAGATGGCTGAATCGGTGGATACGCGATAGAGATCGGAAACGGATCTGAACCCAAAACAATACAGTTCGGCAATACAAACACAACAATACACTTCATCTACCTCATATGCATCCCCTCTATGTACTTGCTCGTCGCTTGTACGCATCGGTCGTCACTCGGCATCTCAGTGAGGAACAGAAAGGGCGGCATCCGATGAGATCGCTTGCTGACTGTCCTCTACAGGTCGTTGCTTCGTCAGAGAGCGGCACGATGGCTGAAACCAACAAAATCGACGAATGGCTGTGTAACACATGATACGGAGGCTAAGCGCGCAGTCAACTCGGCAGTCAGAAGGGAAGGAAGGCAGGCACATGCACCGGGAGGAGATGATCTATAGATGCTGGGTGGGGCAATGCTGCCGGCGGCGAGCAGCATCCCAACAGGACACGACTTCATCGCCGAGACGAGGTGGCGTGAAGAAGCGTCAGATCATCGACGACCTTCCCAATGCATCTACCCTTCTTCCTCTCCTACCTTCTACCAAGCTGGCTGGCTACGCAGCAAAAAGGCACACAGGTAAGTAGATGGGCAGATAGATCTCGGGCACAAACAGATACAAAAACGACTACTGAGAGGCTCTGTTGCTTTGCAGGTTCATGCCTCACTTCTCTTTCTCATGAAGGACGGATCACATATACGACGGATCATCACTTCGTCCATGACGGTGGGTCGGATCACATGCAACACACCATGAACGAATCGGTGGCATTCCTGCCTTCATCTGGCTGTTCAGTCTGGTGGTTCTGACTGGTCAGACACCTCATTCGACGCGGCTGACGCGGCATCGTCATCGGCAGAAGCAGACACGTCAGTGTATGCGCTGCTTCGGCGCACGTCAGGGTATGAGCTGCTTCGGCGGTACGCAGCATCGTCATCGGCAGAAGCAGACACGTCAGAGTATGAGCCGCTTCGGCGGTGGTTGGTACGGCGGCTGTGCTCATCGCTGTCATCGTCGGAGTCGGTATCGTCTCGGTAGTGTCGGCGTCTCGGCGGACGATTGTGTCGGCCATACCCACCTCCCCCTCGGTTCGGCGGCCCGTCACCCGGCCCACTGGGCCCTCCAGGTGGCCCGCTCGGTCCATCTCCCCCACCGTGTCTGGCGAAGGAGAACACGGGCGGACCTGGACCGAATGGGCGGCGGCTGACTGGGGTACATTGGCCGAGGCAGGTGGTGGAGTCGATGATGGGGCGGCTATCGGGACTGACTGGAAGCCAGGGGGGCACGGATACGTCGGTTGCGAGTATGGCGGCACAGATGCTCAACGACGACACGCAGCCAACTGTCGGTACTTGGGTCTGATACGTCGGCTGCTGATTGCTTCCTGGCGGCACAAACGACACGTGGCTCGGTTGTGGTTCCTGTGGCAGTCCATGTGGCCCATTCGGCTGCCCCCTAGACTGGTCGGCGTTCTGCACTGGGGTCGGCGATGGCACCACGTGAGTGCATGACTGGGCGGTGACATTGGGGCATGGATACACTGGCTGCTGGGCGGCTTCCATCGGTACGTACGCATCCGAGTGAGAGAGTGAGTGACCTGCCTGCATGCATGGTGTGGTTGGCTGATTGTGTGCAGGCATGACGGTCGTCTGCGACTGGTGCTCGGTGCCATGATGCGTCTGCTGCTGGTCTACGAGCGGCTGCTGATCCTTCTGTGTCCCACTGACGGCACCCTGGCGGCTTGACGGCTCTTCTGCGCCCTGCGCGCCCCCCACCTGCTCAAACTGACGGCTCATGCTCGCGAAAGACGCGGACAGCGGAGGTGGTGCACTACGGCGGAGGACGGCACGCTTGTAGTCCTGGAGTGTGGCGTGCGCAAAACCATACAGACCATCCGACGGCACTCCCTCAAGCCCATGGCGGCGAGTGAAGGAAGCGTCCCTGAGCGGCTGCTGCTCGGCCTCATCCCCTCCCATGACGGCATACGCTGAATAGCGAGATCGGTGCGACGCGGGGCTCGCTGCATCGGCACCGTCAGCCGGGAGCGACCGAGTCGAATGCAGTGGAGAGCCATTCGTGCCTAGCTGGAGGGAAAAGGGGGACGGCACAAATGAGCGTGGCTGGGCATCGTGCAGCGGGGCGGTCTCGGGGATGGGAATGAGGGCAGGGACGGGCGCATTCGTCACGGCATGACGGTCGGTGCGGGAACGGCCAGGAGTGGGCAAGAGTGGAGGCAACAGGGGTGGCTCAATCACACCGTGTGGAACACAACGGTTGGCGGTGGGTGGGGCGAGGAGGGGGTTCATGTCGGTGCCGAAACCGTTTGTCTGTCGATACATGGCGGTGTCGGGACCCTTCATGTCTGTGCTGATTAGACCCGATGTCGGTGGTCTACATCAACGATTGATAACGCATCCATTCACACACAAAACCCACTGTGTCTTCCCTCAACCCGTCAGTCAACACGAAACAAACACTATCGGTCTGTCGGCAATCGGTCAGTCAATCGATAGGCCGGTGCGTCGGTCAGTCAATCGGTAGGTCTGTCTGAGCGTCGGTCGGTCGTTCGGGTCGAAGTACACTCGCTATCGGTGGTTCGGCAGCGTCACGTTACGAATTCGGCACAGGCGAGTCTGTGCTGACGCTCGACACTCGGATACAATACAGAATCAACCTGACGTCCAAACAGACAACAAGAGAGATACACAAGCAGGCACGGCGATGCACCAGTGATCCGTTCACTGGCACGGCGCAGATACACAAAACAGGCCCGTGTGCGCGCAGGTCTGTCGGTGGGTCTACTGTCAGCGTTTCTGCAGCGCTTCGCGGTGACGCACGGTGTTACGGTAGTATTGCGACGGCTCGGTATACACGACAGCAACGACTCTGCGGCACACAACAAGACAAAAGAGAAACAAACAAGTCACGGCAAAGATGTACCAGTGATACGTTGGCGTATCCTCCTCTGTGCCTCTCTGGGTGTGTGAGATGTGTGACAAGACAGAGGCAGACAGACAAGCAGACAGAAGAGGAGCACCAACGCGCCACCGCCCTCTCTGTACGTGCGGGTAAAGTGTGGTGTGAGAG